ATATGAACGACAATAATTCAGCCATGAATGACAGGGCTTTCCTAGCATACATGTATACCCATTACCTCATGTATAACAAAAATATGTTTCTATATGTAAACAGATAAAATTCAAGTAGCATTAAATTGTGTTGATAATTTGTATGAATTTAGCATGTTTTTAACGGCAGAGAGTAATAAATTATTTCTATCAGATTTTTTATGTAACGGTAATTTGTTGTTTTCACTGTACAGGTGATAATTGGGGTTTGGACTCTTAAATTGTTTGAGAAAACAATTTAACACATTTATGCCTGATTATTATCCTATGGCTTGGGGGTATATCGCTGATTGGTATATGCACTGCGTTGACAGATCTACGTGTTGTTTGTTTATCTCCGTGCAAAACGTTTTACTAAAACAAATTCAGATAATTATTCAAAATTATTTCCTCATTTTTTAAAAATAATTATTTAAAAAAAAAAGAAGGAAAAATAGGTCTTTAAAGTCGATCTGTTGAGGAAAAAAAAGGGGTAGGGCTTTTTTATATATATTAACGAAAGTCTGAATGGGCTTTTAAAAGGTTTATCGTAAATCAAAATGGAGGCACCAAACTTCGTTGAACATTTGATTTCGTGGATCAACTCAACAACGAAATCGACGAAAATTGGTGTTCCACGAATAATGATGAAACCACAGTATGTCATCCAAAACTTCGTTCAGGACGACATAATAATAAGAAACACAGTAAAAACACACAACTTCGTTTTGGGAACATTATTACACCATAGGCAGGTCTAATTTCGCTTGAAATTTCAAACCTTAATAGTTACCCTTGAAATCAAACTTGTATCATTTCAAAAATTAAAACATTGCAACAAACTTAAACTTCATAAATTTTTCCATGACCTTGCCGTTTTATCGATTCATCGAGAAAGGAAGAGGAGGAAACGACTATTATTATATAGATAAATAAATATTAGACTGCATGGAAATGAACCTAAGTTATCCGGAATGATAGGCTGTGACTAAGGGTGAATATGATTATATATCTGAAAGGACTGAAAATACCCGGAATGGAGGGGCAGAGGATTACTGAAATTAACTCACTTATCCGAGACCAGGCTCGTGTAAGTGGTGATATATGTGGCACAAACACGCAAAGCGACAAATATTCTGTCATTTCACGACCAAATTTGCAACAAAACAGTTTTAGTTTACATAATTACTGTATGCAGGGTTATTTTCGCCCTTTAACACTTGCAAACAATTTTGCCCCGTTTTAAATTCGCCCAAATGAGAGTAGGGCGAAAGGGGCGATAATAAAACTTGGGCGAAAATTTCCCTGTATACAGTAAATTGCAATATGCAAAAAATTCCTATTGAAATCGAACTTGGAGCAGGTCAAACGCTGACCGAGATGCAGAAATAAGTCCATGATAACAAGAGTACTAATATACAAGAGTTTCGAGATATTGAGATAGCATATCCAGTTTAAAACACTGTTAAAAGTCCATCAGAACAATGCGAATCAATAAATCAGTTTGCAGGGCAAACATGGATTGTAAAAAGCACTAGGTATCATAGACTAGTCATGATAGGCAAACAGAAAAATCAGGTCGCTGCAAGGATAAAGTAAAAGACAAAAAGATAAAAGAAAAAATGCTTAAGCTGCAAAATAATTTAGTGCCCGATTATTAAATGGAAATACTCTATTTTTAGATATGAGCTGTGACAAATCTATTTTTTTGATAAGAAATTACATGTATCAAAATTATGATCTTCCGAGTGAGGTACGACAAATCGGCCATGGTGTTAATACTTGTTCAGAACGGATATTAACAGAAATATGACAAAATTCATACTATCTTTCTTCAGAAATATTAAGAGTAACATTAGTAGAAGACCTGTACAGGCTTATGAATTTTTAAATTTCCATTTACCAAAATATTTTTCATATTTCAATATACAGGTACATGTATAAGATGTATACATAAATAAAAGAAAAAATGAGCTTTGTTGAAATATATAGAATAAATGCGAGGAATAAAAAGACACACGAAAACTCCTTTTATTTTATATAAACATAAGTGATTCACATGAGCATCTTGTTGGAAATCTGCTTTTAAAATTAAAAACTAATGTAATGAATATGTAGAATAAAAGCTATTAATTGTTCGGAAATATATCGTTATTTTGAAAAAAAAAGTATGCCATTTTCAAAAAGTTGTTTATCTATCTTCAAAACTCTATTCATTATCAATGTAGAAGACATAAGATTCACGGGATTTATTCATGTTTTGAGATGAATTAATTTGAGTTTACTTCCTGGATTTCAAGAATTTAATATAGTTTTTTCTTATTATTTCACTTTAAGTAATTTAGTTATTTTCAATATCTAAATCTTTCTCCATCTCCCTTTTCTTCCTGTTTGAATTTTTAAAACTTTTTCGTCAGATATGACTCTTTCCTTCATTTTTTGCTCACCACAGAAAGTCTTAGGTTCATAAAGAATATATTTAAAACAAGAAAAACTTTTCTGTTTATTGCACAATTTAAATCAATAGCATTTCAAAAACTTTAAACAATAAACGATTTATTTACCGACTGCACATTTAGATAAGAGACAAGGTCTAAAGTCAGTTAAACAATAGAAATGTGAGATTCTTTAAGTATAAAATCAGTTAAAATTTTAATGCGAACTTAAATAAAATATATCATATGTATAAACACTTCATCCCATTAAATGATTTTAAAGCTAAGAAACGCCGTATGTATAAGTAGCTTTAACACTTCCAAGTGATAAGGGAATCTCGCTAGCTACAGAGCCGTATGCAACCCTTTTCCTGCTGATAACTGAGTTTCTCTGGCTTATCTGACACTTTGTTGCCAAGCAGGACCACCTTAGGAAGTGTTTCCGACAAATCCAAATCTGAGAAACCCAAATGAGTATAAATTTAACGAATTGTCCAGGGTTTATAAAAATAAAATACCTCATGCAAAAAGAAAAAGACTGAGTCATGCCTAGATCAGTATAAAACTAATGGAATTTCCATACAAAGAAAATTTTAAAATGTTTATTTATTCATTCAAAAATGCACGCAATGGGTGTGTACAATTAAAGACAATATAATCATGATAACAAAAGGTAAAGGCTGCATCAGGTGAAATAATGATCTTATTGTTATTTGCAAAAATTCTCCTTAATAAATATATAACTGGTAATGTTCATATTAAAACATTAATATTTTGACACCAGACAATGCAGTATTTCTATCAGATATGTCTATTTTGCTGAAAACCACTAGCTGTGGATAACAGTAAAACAATATCATCGGCTCATCAGATCATTAATAAATATTTAAAATAAATTTGGAATGTGATTGTGACTTTGGCTTACACCAACACTTATCAAGATGGACACAGGATTTGCTGAAAGATACAAGGGCCTTGTCAGAAAATTCAAAATGCTGCCGGACCTTTTTCATATTAATTGTTAGTCTATTGTTAGTCTATTACTTTTACACTGAATTGACGAGGATTTTTACCGTTATTTCCCGATCATGACAAGGAGCACAGGACGGGTGTGATCGGTCAACAGGGGATACTCACTCCTCCATGGCACCTGATCCCATCTCTGATGTTTCGGAGGTCCGTGTATACTCTGCTCCTATTTTTTATTGTTTTATGGACTTTGCTATTGGATACTGTTCGTTATCTCCATATCCTTCTGAATGCTTACATGGATTATATAACCGTACTATTTTGTTCTTTCAACTATTTTGAAGAGTTTAATTTTGATTCCTTGTGGATAAGCGTGTTATTTGCTATTCAAAATTTGACAGAGCATGTACATGTGTACACCCCGACTTCCATTTTTTTTTATCATTAATAGTTTACGCGGGCTAAAACAATAGCTAAATACATGAAGACTAAATTTTGGTAAAATGTGCCTTTATTGTTTCGACCAATTGTCTCATTTTAATTATTTTTAATTCACTTGATGCGATTCTCGAGAGGAACGTTAAACAACATACAAACAAACAATATTCTTGATGAAAGTTTTATTGATGAGTTTCATACCGTTGTGGATAAACATGTACAATTCTTTGCTCAATAATCGTAAAAAAATATGTATTTATAGATATTTTTTTAAAGTTCTATGATCCCTTCATATGTGCTAAAATCATACAGGCGGATAAATAAATATCGTTTGCTTCTATTTTAGGGTATATCTGGTACATCTATTGAAAAGATCGTTTTGTAAATTCTATTGTGATCCCTGATAGCTATTCCAACTTTGACTCATATTTGGATTGACATACTTCATACTATTTTAGGTCTTTGACTACGGAATCTTGCACCTATATGATAAACAAACCTTTTAAAACTCATGGAGGGTGTGTAACTTATAGAGATGACAAACAATATTCAGGATCAAAAGTCCAATACAAAATAGAAACAGAGCAAACAGACCTCCAAATAATCAGAGGTGGGATCAAGTGCCATGGAGGAGTGAGCATCCCCTGTCGACTGATCACACCCGTTGTCATGATCTGTTAATAACGAAAAAATCCGTCGTCAATTCAGTGTATAAATAATGAACAAACAATTCTAATAGTATGAAAAATGTCCGTCAGCATTTAACCCAGTGATAAATCGTATTTGCTGACAAGGTCATTATATCGACCTTAGCACTTGCAAAATGACGATTTTAAACGAGACTGCTGATATTTTGTTTCATCAACTCGTTGTAGAAATTGTACATGCGTAGAACATACCCTTGCGTATCGAATCAACTGAGATTTATATCGTATAAGGACGATGTTATGTAGATGTATGTATTGTCATTAATATTTTTTTTAATTGAAAGAAAGACATGGGATTGACTCAATTTGTAACTTTAAATACAGTACGAACACTAGCCTTGTAAATACGTATCAGTCAATCAGTGGTTAATTCTTTACTTCCGCATCCTGTTGCAATAAAAGACTTCTGCGGTTACAGAGAATTCACAGCGTCCTAAAACTGTGGTTCTATGTTGATCATTATGTACACCAGTTGCATTTGGTTCCTCCTTTTGTAAGTAACACTAGAGACATTCTTATTTATTTTTTTTTGAAAGAAAATTAACCGTTCTAATAATAATTCGAACTTTCTCTTTTTTTCTCTCTCTTCTGTCCATATTGCTATAGTAAGCTAAAAAAATGAGATATTTCAAATCAAAAATAAGATAATGTTTTGGATAACTTCAGTAAACATTTCAAATAAAAAAAAATAAGGACAATATATACATCTAAATAACGTTGTCCTTATATTTGAGTTTCTTTTAAAAACGTCGTTTTCTTTGTTAAGGCAATATGAGCTGTAACTTGATGTCGGAATTTTTTGTTGCAATTCTACAAAAAGCTACTACAATGACAAAATAAAATAACGTTAATAAGCTTTCATTGTTCATATTTTCGATAGAAGAACTATTGATACGCTTTGGTTGAATCAAAATTACATTATTGTCATCCTGTACAATAATGATGTCTCATATAAAACTGCACATTTGATCGTATATAAAATTCTTTCTTCTGCTTTATTTTAGTCTAATTGATCATAAAGATTTAAGTTACATACATATTTACCAGAATAACAACAGTAAACTAATATTTTCAAAAATGTAGCTGATATTGCTTTAAGAATTTATATTTATCAAAACACTAATTTTAGGATCACTGGAACTGGAATTGATGCTAGTCCTTGTTCAAAAGTAATTAAAAAAGTAGAATATTACGAGGTCGTAAAGTGCACATGTCGCCTTTGGGGAGAATGGTGAGATTTTTAAAAACAAGAATGCATTCAATAGAATGATACTGGTTATTGTATTACAATATATATATTTCTAATATAATCACTGATATAATCATTTATATCATTTTATAAATTAGCATTACATTATTCATGAAAGCTAAAAAATTCATTTGTCATTTTCTTTTTATGCCTCCGTAGGCGAAGTTTACAAGACGTGTGACAAGACCTATCTTTGGGTACCACCAAATTTGACATTTTTAAATTGACCTTGGAGTTTAATCCACTTTTACATGAAAATTTTAAACTTCACATATATATTTTTTGTTAAAATACCTTTCATTGGATACCAACAACCTTGACCCTTTGACCTTGACCTTGTAGATTTCGTACTTGTGAAAAAACTTTAACTTTGGCCATAACTTTTGAACGGTAAGGGATAGGACTTTCATTCTTCATATATGTAATCTTTGTGAGAAGTCCTTTTATTGAATACCAAAAGTGTTGACCCCATGACCTTTAAATTTGACTTACTTAAAAAAAACAAACATTGATCATAACTTTACAGAGTTAGGGCTAGTGCTTTCATACTTTAAATATTCAATCCTTGTGACAAGACCTTTCATTTGATAACAAAAACTTTTACCCTTTGACCTTGACCTTAGGGTTTAACCTACTTAAAAAAAAATTAACCTTGGCCATAACTTCTGCACGGTTAGGGCTAGGAATTCCATAGACTACATAAGTATTCTATATGGAAAGAGTTTTCATTGGAGACCAATTACCTTAAACTTTTAACCTTGACCTTCGAGATTTTTGTACTTATTGAAAAAACTTTAATATTGACCTACTTTAAAATTCCTTTATTGTTTTCCAGTGAGAATACCCTACTTTTGGTACCAATTAGTTAAATTTGCATTAAAAAACTTTAATCTTTGCTATGTTGCCATACGAGGGCATCAGTGTGTCACAAATACATCTTGTAAACATTTGTATTTCTTGTGAAAAGGCCTTACTTTAGATACAAACATATTTGATCTGCAATTGAGAAAGGTTAACCTTCGCTGGATGTTGCCATACAAGGGCATCAATGTTTCACAAACTCATCTTGTTTTCTTTTCGTTATTACTTCAAGAGGAATGTCCTTTCTGTTCCGGTAATTTATTCGTTAGAGGGCTTAATTGCTCAGTGAATGGAAGATGGAAGGGTCAAACAAAACTAAATCTTGATTAAAAACTTAATATAGTAATCTTTAATTTTCACCAAGCTCTTAGTACTTTCAGCTTAAGTCAGGTTACTTTCTTATAAACAGCATACTTTTCATCTTGTATTGGTTTCTTACGTATTTTACAGTACTCACTACGCTACGTTAACGCGATATCGCTCGTCCTATAGACGGACATGCTGCGCCGGATATGGAGGTTCTAACTGTCAACGTAAGTACTTTATAAGAAGGAAATTAGAAAGATGCCAGAATGCCATATACTATTTTAAAGCAATATGAGCTACAATTTTTATGTCAGATAATTTTGTAGCAATCTGAATGACAAAAAGAAAGAAGACTTTTTTTTATTTTCTGTAGTTCATATTTCCTAAGGAAGAACTTTTTATAAGCTTTGATAGAAGCAGAATTACATTATTGTCGTCCTGTACACTATTAACTCTTTTATAATACTATATATTTCATTTTACAGATGTATTTAATCTGACATTTAGAAACGGTTTATTTTAGTTTAATAGATCATAGCAATCTTAATTACATACAAATTTATCTTAATTGCACATTTATACATGCGAAAAAAATCTGAACAATGCAGCTCATACCCCGGTATTGCTTTAATGTGCATGGCCCAATTTAGAGAAAACGAAGAATAAAAATGAGTTTTAATTTTTATGGCTCTAGACACATAGTCATTCAAAATTTCACAAATGCACACTGCAATATCTTTAATTCTAAGTCTTCTTTTTACTATAAGATTTTAAATAAGAAAAAGACAAAAAAAAAAAAAAAAACTAGGCATGGTGAGCCTGTCGAGCATCTAGAGACAATTTTTTTTAAGGAATCACTGTCTAGTTATTCTAGTTATGCCAGGACATCAACGATAGTGGGAAATGTGGTATAATTGCCTGACGTCACGGCGTCAGGCAGTACTATGGATCAATATTTCCTAGGTGCGAAGCTAAGAGGTCACAGTTAGCCAGCAAAATTTTCTGCATGCTGATTATCATCGGATTTTGTTACCTGCGTTTCAACAACAGCAGTTAGAAGAAAAATAACCATATTATTGATACAATATATTGATGTATTTATTTCCGTTAGATTTTTGCATACAGCTATTTATTTCATGCAAGGTCTTATTTTTCTGCGTTTCTATACTACTGGATTAGTCAATTTGCCTCCCAGGTAAGGAGTAACACAATCATTTCGCGCCAAAAGGTCACGTGTAAGTTTTTGGTGCCCTTTTTCTGGACTATTTTATTGAATGAAAATGAAAACTGCATGAATTATATAAAGTGTGGGTTTTTTTGTCTAAATCTTAATCGAGCTTTGGAAAGAGAACATTTCGGTAATATTGTGAAGTGAGTTAGAATTTACATCATTTAAAGTAATAAAAACGAAACGTAAAAAAAAAACTTCTTTAGAGGATTGACTGGCCAAATCATATACATCTGATCACCCACCCCCCCTTACAGGGGATTCCTTCTACAAAAAACAGAATATAGACTTAGGAAAGTGCCCCCTTACTTTTTAGGATTGAGGGAATTTATTATTTTTTGTTTTTGTTTTGCTCTTACAAATACTTTTTATGTGGAAACCCCCCATCTCTGGAAAGTTCATAGGTAAAGATAGCTTTTTTTTTTTACTTACAATTAACACTTTTCTTAGTGTAAATTTGTACAACAAATTACATCATTTATCCCTGCTTTTGATTTTCCTTTCTAATTATAAAACATAATGGTTTTGAATCTGCTTAAATTCAACAAACTTTTTAAGGATTAAAACTTTAAAATAATTACACGTGTTAAAATTTAATGAAAGAAAAATTACATTTTGATAGTTCAAAAGGTCGAGTAATTGATTATGCGATCAAATTTTTGCCACAAATTTAATGTGTCTTTTTCTACGATAGAAAAAAAGTAAATTTGTTCCGTGATTTATAAGAATAAAAAAAATTTGGAGGTAAAACTTAGGAAGATGTGTTCTATGATAAAGACATTACTTTGCATAAAAGTTAAATATACCGTAGTGTCAAAAGGACCATATTGGCTTCCTTTTTGTTTAACTTCTAATTAAGTTATGTGGGTATAGATATTAAAACTATATTTGACTTGACAAAAATTTCTTAGGACTTTATTTATTCCAGGATTATTAAAGTACATTGATACTGTGATAAGAAGGATCATTCTTAATGGCATAAATGCCTATTATTCCTTTATAAATTTACCAACTTAAAGTGTCTTTTTGTCGAATTTTGCCCCGCAAGCTACTGAGTATGTTTTAATTTTTTGTATTTTACTCAAATACATTTCTTGACGAAAATCATTAAGGATCAAGCATCATTTTATATCAATGAGCAGAGAGTTTATGAACCTTAAACTCAATAAATAAATAGATTACTTTCGAAGCCATAAATACATAAAGAAAGTAAAAATTATGATATCGTTTATTTTGTGTTAAATATGTAAATAGTCCGCTAACTTTTGATCGGTATTGATCTTAATCTTAAAATAATCGATTTCGCAACAATATTGAGATTATATTTCATTTTTTAAAAAAAATATATGATTGACTAATGTATTGTCATTAATTGTGACTAGTATTTGAAGATTTCTTCTACAGGTTTAAAAATATTTACAAAATATAATATAAACCAGCACAGTTACATACGGCATATCGCACCGCTTACTCAAATCGTGGTTTAAAATCTTTCATAAATGTTTCATACAAATGATTACTGCAGATCATTCAGCAAACAAGCCCAATTTCTTTGAATTAAGACTATTTTCCACTCATAATACATTATCTTTATACATTAATATTGGTATATCATATCTCGGATACTGTGAAATCATCTACTGACTTCAGGGTTTAATAGACGCTAATTCATTACTTAAGAGACCGACCTACGAATTCATGTCTTCCACGAGATTTATTAATACATTTTCAAATAGATTACAATTACAAACTCTTCCGTTTATAAAATCAAATCCCCTTGAACCAAACTGTTTACTCTTCTCCAAAAATAATGTGATTTTAAAGAGTATTTTTGAACAGCTAGATGCAGCAGATCCTGCAATTCGCGTGGTAGTTGTGTTGCTCCCAATGTCTGCCACTGTTGGAGTGGGTATACTGGAAGTTCCTGCCAAACACGTAAGAAGAAAGACGAGTTGCATTTTGACAAGATATAAAACTTATTATAATCATGACTCTCTCTAATACTGGTATTTTGAGATCAATTCTCTGTTTATATTAAAGCTTTTAATCATAGCTTACTGTGAGCATTTTTGATCTTTTGTTTACAGCTGTCTGTAGTCCTGGCTGTCAGAATGGGTACTGTAGACGTCCTGGCGTTTGTTCTTGTTACTCTGGGTACACTGGTAGTCGTTGTCAGACACGTAAATCTTCTTTTATTTTTTATTTTATATGTTTAAATATACTAGAATGTACATTTTATAGCTATTATATGTTCTATGGCAAATTCTGAATATCGAAGTTTTATTTTAATTTTCCACTTTTCCTTTAAATACGAGAGATCAAAATATTTATTTTAAATCAATTGAGTCTACATTTAATCATTCTTGGTAATATCGCAAACATATATGCATATATTGGTCTTAAATGTTTACAGCTACATGTAATCCAGATTGTCAGAATGGAGGCAGTTGTGTTAGTCCTAATACATGTAAATGTCAAGCGGGCATGTACACTGGCCCGAGATGCAATGCTCGTAAGTGACAAACCATAATTTATTTACTAAATCTTTTCAAAAATCACATCAATTTGGAACAAACAGGTAATTTCTCCTGTTTTTCACTTTTGTGCGGAATATTTGAAAAAAATACTGTTTTCAAACTGTAGCTTACTAATTCTTACAAATGCGAAAAAAGATAAATGTATACATTTAGCATTTTCAGTAATGTCATTCCTTACATCTTACCAATATTTTTTTAAGTCTACTTCGACTTTTAAAGACTACATGCCCGCCCATATACATAAGGGGAAATCTTTCTTTTGTAGTACACTGTAGTGTGATATTAAATTTACTTAGAATTAATATGTGAGACTGCATTTGTTAATAAAATGCATTTAAACTTAGAAATAAATTTAACTTTTTTTAAAAACCTGAATATCCTCTAGTTAAAGTAGTGAGTTACTATGGCTATACTTCTGAGCTAGAGTTATCAATGAAATTCACGATAAATATTCAGTATTTAAAAGATGCTAAAGAGAGTTTTTAAATTTAAAGAGGGTTGTTTCTTTTCTATCAAAATGGCAACAATTCCAAACATGTAAATTTTGGGACTTCAGTCTGCATCAATATGTATATAACGTTCGTATAAGGAAAATTTCCTCTCTTATTTGTTTCAAATCCAATCCTAATTATCAGTAGATTTTTAAATATTTTGAACATTACTAAATATATATATTTTAGTATATACAGTAGAACTGTATAATATATCAATATCAGCTAAAGCTTTTAAACAATAAGGAGTTGTGAAGGACAAGATAGGGTAAGAACCCTTCGGCCCCTGCTTTGGAATGTCTTTTAGAACGATGCAATATCGTATGAATCAACCCGGCAATGAATGAATTCTTAGTTACGGGATATACAGAGGTCACATGAAGGTAAAAAATGTTAATATCCAAATTTCCTCATTTTTATGCAAATTTTAATCAATTTTACGGCACATTTTCTCTTAGAAAACTTATTTAGAGCACAAGCTTGCCTATCTATTAAATTTTTATATTTCATGAACTAGTATCAGATAAATCTTATAAGTAAGAATGTCAGATTGTCAAGTTTGTGCCGAAAAGTATCTAAAATTTGACAGAATTCCACCAAAATTGAGAAAACACCCTCTAATGGCATCCGTGTAACCTGTCAATCAAAGTTAGTCCTTGTTTTAAAACGAGCATCAAACTGAGCTCTTAAATACAAATTATTACAGCTTTAACTGTGTTCTGACTGGAGCCAGATTCAGCGTTTAATATTCTTTGTCCTTTATAAAACTATTTTTAAAACCAAATTTTTCCTTTAATCAAAACGTCTCTCGTTCCCGTTTTTTTTTATTTGCAACTCTTCATTTACTGAGATGACCTTTGAGATGATCAAGTGTGTTATTTTCCTGGGTCATTTCTATATCTTTGTTAAATAGAAGTTAAAAAAACATTATAAAATGTTTAATGTCTGAATACCATCAGAATGTTGTGAACCTTAATTCTTCATTCGCAGCTATTTGTACACCGTCATGTAAGAACGGAGGGATTTGTTCCCAGTCAAGACAGTGTCAGTGTCCGAATACCTATCAAGGGAGGGACTGTGGAGATCGTACGTATCTTTTTGTGCTTATTCTATGCTATGTGTTATTATGTAATGACTTGACAAGTATGTTTAAAAATCAAAATAAGTTATCTTATCTCAAAGTTAATCTTAACTTTATTCAGAGTGTGGCTTTCTCTGATTTTTCAATCAACACTTTGTATGAATTTGAGATTTCGTTTCTAGTTTAGTGTGAGTAATTCTAACTTTTCTTTACAGCTGTCTGTAGGCCTAGCTGTCGGTTTGGGACTTGTATACGTCCTAACGTCTGCTATTGCTACCCGGGATACACTGGTAGTCTTTGCGAGACACGTAGGTTTTATGTTTTAAAACTAATGCATATACCCCAGTATAAGCTTTAAAGGGATCCTTGACAAATCCTGGGGGGAAAATATTTTTGCTTTGAACTACGCAGGAGAACAAGAACATTCAAAATATTATAGTAATAATTTTATACAATTATAGCATTTTGATGAGGTCAATCCCTAGATATATAGACCTTAGAGAAAGCATAACGACCGAGCACGTACCGAATCAAATGGCTACAATTGTTTTATTATTTTTTATCAGTTAATAAGAAATGTCTTAAAATCTTTTTCGTACTACTCAGTACCTTTTCGTATTAGGCATATTGTCTTATGCATTATGACGCCACAGTAATGAAAACCAGATACAGTATCTGTTTATAGAAACATCAAGTTTATTAAATACTATTGTGACGTCAGCACTATTGCTGCTTCAAAGAAGAACGTTTCCAATTTTAGAAATAGCAGGTTTATAAATTTTGAAAATAGAAACATCCAGTCCTTTCCACTTTTATACTTGATCATGTGATCAAGTTTAAGCAAATCAGATAGTTGGAACTTTATTAAAAAATAATAATACAATATATTACTATCAAATAATGTTTAATTGATTTTGTTTACGAATTCTTGATAATGTGCCAAACATGCTTAATATGGTGGTTTTTAATGTTTCTAGCAATATGTTCTCCAGTTTGTAAGAATGGAGGCACCTGTGTTAGTCCAAATACATGTAGTTGTCCAAACGGAATGTACAGTGGTTTGAGATGCAATGAACGTGAGTGATCAACTAGACTCGTTATAATACATGTATTTTTCAGTATAGCATTGATTTTGGATGATACTAGTATATGATTGCTGGTAACTGGGAGCAGTATGTTACTCCTGCATTATGATTTCCTTAACGCAGGGTTCTCCATCATTTCAAATGTTACTGTGTTGCTGAGTTTATGCGAAGCACAAAATTTCGCGGTATTTCGCGATCACATTCACAACTGGAACTGATTCATTATAATAGCGAAAGAATACATGCACACGCTTTAAAAATAATCGGTAAATCGTTGATATGGTCGTACATATTGATAAAAGTAAAAACACATGTTCTGAAAAGCAGAGGAAATTCTGGTCGATACAGTCGTAGTACTTTCTATTTTTTAGAGTAAATTTGCTTCTAAATCGGACCACCGAATTACACAAAAAAGGAACTTCAGAACAGTAAAATACTTTTAAGGGTTCTTTATTTGAACATGTTAAAAATTTTAAGCAATTCATTTACATCAATGAAATGACTTCGGTACGATTTTATGGTTCACTTACAGTACTAATATAATCCTAGAGTAGAGACGTGATTCTTTTGAAAAGACACATTAAAATATTTTTAAAAAAATTATTCAATCTATTTTAATGCAACTACCAATTAACCGTTACATGGAAGTGTGAAAACAAATTATTTATCTTTGTTCCTTCATGCGTGAAGTCCGGCTAGGGTCTAGGAGATAACTGATTATGCAAGGTGAAGCCCTAGCAATTAAGTGCTCCACCGTTTAGAATTGACAGACGGTAGAATCTCACTCAGCAGGGTTAGAGAGAATTTATGTTTAGATTTTCAAATTATCACAGATCTTACTGTGTCGC